CCAGGCAAAAGCATCCCAATCTCTTTTGATTTAGAAAATACTGTAAAGCCCAGGGGCAAAATTGTGTGACTGTCACAGACTGTCAGTTGTGGTGTGTTGTGTGTGCTTCAGCCTTCTGGTGTTCAATGAATATTCAGACCCAGTGGCCTTTCAGCCATTCTGCTTGAGGAATGCCATTTTTTTTCCTGTAAAATTGTGATAAAGACATATTTAGCTGCCTTTTGTCTCTTTCTAACTGAATGTTGTTGGACCTTTTCTGTGCCACTGAATGTCCACTTGTTCAAGAAGGCTTATAGAGAGAGGGAACCTCTCTCACCCTTAGAGCCCACCTCAACTTGTGGTGTGATCATCAGAAGCTAAAATCTTTATTTTACATTTTAACCAAGCATCCACAGTTTGGAATTGGACAGACCATAAGGATAGATTTGCAGAGATGCTCTGAAGTCTGATGATTCACTTAAGAGAATTAAGCCAATTCAAGATGCAAGAAGTTAATGGTGGTATACACAGCACCCTGTAGCTGTTTTTATTTATTGATGATACTCAATATTTACAGCAGCTGGTAAACCTGACTGGTTTACTATCATGACCAGTTCCAGCTCATTATTTTCTCTCATTTGAACCCTCACGTGTCAGGTAAGACACAGTCTGTGACCGTAGCAGTTACTGCTCTTTTTCAGGCAGTTGTAGAGAGCAATGAGGTCTCTCCTCAGCCTCCTCTTCTCCAAACTAAACAATCCCAGCTCCCTCAGCCTCTCCTCATAGGGCTTATTTTTCAGGTTACTCCTTTTCAGGTTATAGCTTTATTACTCAAAATGCTCTTGCTGTGAGAAAAAAACACCTTCTATTTTTCTGTGTATTATAAATGCCCGCTGTGTGGTGCAGGCCCAGGGGACCTTGGCAGAAGCCTCTGTGGCAAGTCCTCTGCTACTGGCAAAGCTTTGCAGGCTGGACCCTGGAAACAAGACTGGGGAAATCAATGACCTCATCAATGGTTACAAATATGTAAAGGGTGAGTGTCAGGAGGACAGAGCCAGTGATGTCCAGTGATAGGACAAGGGGAAATGGGTGCAAACTGGAACATAGCAGGTTCCATGTAAATATCAGATAAAGCTTCTTTACTGCGAGAGTGCCAGAGCCCTGGGACAGGCTGCCCAGAGAGGTTGTGGAGTCTCCTTCTCTGGAGACTTTCAAGACCCATCTGGACATGTTCCTGTGTGATGTGCTCTGGGTGATCCTGCTCTGGCAGGGGGTTGGACTGGATGGTCTTTCCAGGTCCCTTCCAACCCCTAAGACTCTGTGATGCTGTGAAATATGCAGGAACAAAGGAAGGAGGGCATGCGCACGCTCAGCAGGTCCTGACAGGCAGAAGGTCGAAGTGAAAAGCTGCCCAGTGACCTCCAACAAGCTACTGAAGCATGAACACAGCAGCTAATGGAGAGGCAGAGTGCATTGCCCTGCACTGGGAGGCTTCAGGTTAAAAACCACAGAAAAACCCTCAAACTGATATGTGAAATACAGCATATGGGCAGAGAGGACAAGGAGATGGGACTCTGTGGCGTTAACCACGATCAGCAGCAAAATGCTCAGCTGTCAATTTAGAGCCCAGAAGTGGTGAAAGGCTTGCACCTCTCTGCCTGCTGAAGCCTGTGCCTGCAGCAAACAGACACAATCAAATTACAGGAGGCTGTTCAGTCCTGACAATAAACTATCCCTGGACGTGCACAGGGCTGTTGCTTGATAAACTGTAAAATTTATTTCACTCTCACCTGCCTTCTTTTTTTGTAGGTTGCTGTTCATATTCCTTCTGGAAGTGATGGTAAACGTGGGATCAGTTTGCCAGTGAAGTATGCAATTTTTCTACTTTTCCTTAGAAATTGTAACGGTCCCTGCCTCCAAATATTCTGTCAATTATTTGAGAGAATGACACATTTATGAAAAGAGAGCCAGTCTGGCTTTCATTGTCCTGTTGCAAAGGTGTTTGTGTGCATGTGGGTGTGTATATAGTAGTGCTAGAGGAAGTGCTACTCCATGATGTGTTGACACTGAAATTAATGTTTATTCTCAAAGCAGTCATTGTGCATCAGGTTAACTTGTTATCCTGGAACAAGGACTGCTGCTTTCTCTAAACCATCCTGCAGGCATGTCTGCGTGGAGCTCTAAGATGAGCTCTTCAATCATCACCAACCAGCCCCAGTGCCTGGCACATCCCAGCACGTACCTTCCATCCGCAGCAAACGGGTGACAATTCATGCTTAAGTCATCTCCTAGGGTGGCCACGTGACAGAGCTGGTAATTGTAAAATAAAAACGCTACTAAGTCCTGTAATGATGCAATTATTTTATAATATAACTATTAATAATGAATGTCATATTTTTATTTTTTCAAAAGTTACAGCAGTTACACTGGTGACACTGAATCGTCTTAAATATGTAACCAAAGAAATCACTGCTGAGAACCACAGAAACTTCAAGCTGTGCAGAGGACTCAGCCACTTCAGATTCCTCTGCCTGTCCTCAGCCCCTCTGTCCACAGCAGTATTTAGAGTGCGCAGTCACATGTTGAGGAAACTTGGACAGTATAAAGGCACAAGAATAACTATAAATGAGCCAAAAATGAGCAATAATAAGAAAACCGAAAGGCTTTTGGAAAGCAGTGCATTTTATTCCCACATCTCGATCCGCATTCTTCCGCTGATGCTATTAAAATACCTCAGCACGAGGCAGTATGTTTATTTTATTGTGCAACAGTCTCTGTTACTGAAAAAGTGGACTGCATTTGCCAAATTCCCATTTTAATTTAGAGAATGTACAGGTATAAATAGAATACAATATAATCACATTTCGACTATACATGCAAATGTACAACATCATCACAGCAGCTTTTTTTAACAGTCAAAACTGTTTGAATTTCCGCAGGTTTCTACTAATACTTCAACAACAGTTAAGCAGCAAAAACACTGAACTCCCCCAGGAAAATGCCCTGCAACAAGAGTCCAGGGGGAGAGCTTTCCACATCATGTGCCAAACACAGAGTGTATGCTACGGGATCTGAGCCTGGCATCCAGGTGGTAAAAAGATCCACATTTCTCGTGGCCAGAAAACACTGGGCACAGTGAGGGCAGATCAGAGACGTGGGTTTCCCTTCAGCCATCTGCCTGATTGCAATGCAGCTCAATATCATAATGAGTTCAGTAACACAGCAGCTATAAGTCATGGGCACGAACTTCTTTGGGATGCACTTGAAAAACTAATAAACCCCCTATTACATTAGCCTCTAAACAATAAATAGAGCTTTTGTTGAAAAAGACGCCATATGGGGCTCCAACAGAAAACAGACGTGTCTTGGCACCCAGCCAGCCTCTGTCAACTCTTCAACATAAGCTATACATCAGGTGTGATGTACAGATCTCCAAGCCCTGTCCCCAGCCCAGCAGCTACAGGCTGTTAGCCTGAATGCCTTTTAGAGCCACCTGATCCAAAACTCGTGGGTGATGCCAGGTCACCACACAGCCTCTGCTCTCACTCAAAAAACACACGATCCCGCTCGATGTTTCTGCCTGCATTTATTGACAAGACTCTAAAGCTCCCCCAGAGATCAGTTTTGCAAATACTCCCTGCTGGGTAAATGGCTCATTTCAGATTTCAGTGCTGAATGTGCTGTGAGACTAATGCTGCCTGCTTGGCTGGAGAAGGCATCAGGCTAGGCACTGATTAATTAGGGCTGTGGGAATAACTGATTTTCGGTTCAGTGGCTTAATAAATAATAGTAACAGTAATAACAAAAATAACAACAGACTTGGTTCATTTTGTCAGAAGATGAGAGCAACTTGTTTCAGCCTGTGGTCAGGATGGCCCAGTGGCTGGGGCACCCTTTTGGGATGAGGAAGACTCAAGAGTCAAATCTCTCCTCTGCCTGGTTCTGAGCAAAGGTTTGATCCAAGGACTCCCACCTCCCAAAAGGGTATCTCCAGGCTAAGAACTACTCAAATGCTTGTTTCCCCAGTCCTCCCCATTCAATGCATCTAGTACACACAACCTGTACTTCTGAGAGAGGGAAGTGGAGAGGACACTGAGGTTTCCAGCCAGGTGCCGATCCAACCAACTTCAGGGTACAAGGAGAGCACAAGGCACACACTGTCTCCCGATCCTCTTTATAGCCCTCCTGAATCAAATCAATACAGTCCAACATTTCCAATCCCTTTAATTTGAATCAAATTAGACCAATGCTACGTGTAGTTAAAGCTCATAGAAAAACACCCTTCTTTTGCTGACCACAGCTTCTCAGAAGCTCAGATCTGGTTCTGGTCTCATGTATGCCACCACCACAAGAAGGAAGTGTTTCTACTGAAGACACAAACCACCCAGTATAAACCAGGTCTAGAGCCCAGCGTGGCCATAGAATCAGGGAGAGTTTCAATTCTTCAGTTTGGAGTGTGATTTTACACCAAGATACTGAAGTGGCATGACCTCTAGCTCTGTTGCAATTGTATTGACACAGAGGAGTATATAAAGTACTGCTAATAGCTCATATATTGCAGGACTATGTTTATGTTTAGTACCTATAGTTGGACGGATACAGCTATGGAAGCACATTGACAAGAGCCTCCAGATGGTGTTAAAATGACCAGGCTCCAGTCACAAGCCAAGCCACAGGCTACCAGCATGCCACTGGCACTGCTGACTAACATAATGGTACTGGTGTCCCCCAGGGCCCAGGCTGCTGGGCAAGCTCCCTGTGACTTGCCAGTGCCCAGCTCTCTGTATCCACAGCAAAGGACTCAGCACCTTCAGCTGTGGTAGCTCTCAACTGAGGTACTGAATGCAGCTGAAAGCAAGCCCAAAGCATGAGCAAACTCTGACCTTCTGTCTTTTGACAATGAGGTAAAGTTGTCCTACATGATTTGGATTTGTCAGCATTGATGTTTAAATGTATGCTCTGCCTTTCCCTCTGCACAGAGAACCAGGTGTCTGTCATCAAGCAGTAGATTTCAAACCTGCTTAAGGACTTGGTAGCTCCTCATTTTCTATCAAATAATCCTTCTTTATATAATTAGCACCTCTCAGCAACCTCCATACTCCAAGATAGGCATCCTTCAGTGAGCTCCTGTTCACTTCTTGTGTGCCAGTGGCCCTTCCCTGGAGCACTGCTCTCTTGGCAGGCTTCTCAGTGCTTCTCAGTGCCTTCTCTTCCCCTCCACTCTGGCTGTCCTCCACGGCTGATCCTTCCACTGCTGCTTCCTCAGTCCTCTTCTCCTGGGAAATTGCTTCCATCTGAAAAAGTTCTTGGTCCCCAGCCTGCGTTTTCACCTCCCCTTCGCTAGATTCTTTCTCCAGGTCCTCATATTTGCTCTGCTGTCTGGTCTCAATGTACTTGACCACGCAGTAAATGACAGATCCCAAGGTGTTGACCACAACACCGGCTATAAATAACTTTGTGGGCTCCACATCATTGAACGCCACCATGCCCACTGTGATGGTTGCTATGCTCTTCACCACCCCTACGAAGCTGGTGGTCACAGCTGAGTTAATATAAGTGCAGTGAAGGGTGGTGAAGTTCATGGCACAGCTAATCAGGATGCAAGCAATAAAGATGCATACCATGGCAGGGTCCTTCCACCCTGGGAATGACCAGACATTGATGGAATCCATGCTGGCAAAGGAGCAGATGATGAGAAAAGGGGTGGCTGACACAGCAATGGCATACTGGGCTGTCAGGGGTCCGTATTCACTGTCTACACTGGTCTTCTGAATGAGCACCAGGTAGGCAGCGTGTATCAGCACGGCCAGCACGCCTGTCACATAGCCCATAGCATCCCCCGTCAGGTCACCAGCTCCTGTCAGGAAAGTCACAGAAAGGAACTGGCATGGGTTTTGCACGTGAGACAGAACGAGAACACTGTTTTGGGCTGGGGGGATATTTAGGAGATAGACACCAGTGTCCTTTCTACAACTCCTACGATCTGTAACGCATTTCCCAAGGCTGGACAGACCTCCCAACAGATACATCCTTCTTCTGTGTGTGTGTTGCAAACCCACTGAATGCCATCCACTCCTCCTAAGTCCTGCAACCAAAATCAGACTGTGTTCTCCCTTTCATGAAGACACTAAAGGAGATGTGCAGCCGAACTCACACACACAGAACAAGGCCAGGCATCCTCATGCCAGTCTGGGCACCTGTTAGCTCCAGCTGGCTGGGCTGCCTGTCCTCTGCTCCCCCAGCCAGGCCAAGCTGCGTGTGCCCTCATGGTGAGGGTCTCCCTGCCGAGGCCACTGACAGGCTTCTCTGGGGATTAAGCACCATGTGTGCGTGCTCTGTTCGCTGGGGCAGCCCCCTACCCAGGAGCGTTAACTAGGCAGAGGGAGCCAGCTTTGCCCCTCCCCCCACCTACACCTTGGCTGGAAATCAACACAGATAGGGCTTCTGGCCACACAGGTTTGCAGCTGACCCCAAAGGCTGCACCTACCCCTGTAAGATTGCACTTGTCCCAGGGGGGCTGCAGTTGCCCCCAGAAGTTTGCATCTACTACCCCTGTTAAGGTCGCACCCACCCCTCTTAAGACCACGCTTCCTGCTACGGGGCTGCACCTTCCCAAGAGGGTTGCAATAAGGTTGCACCCACTCCTAAAGGTTTATGCCGACTCCTATTAGGGCTGCAGCGACCTCCGTAAGGACGTACCTACCTCCGGAAGGTTGCACTGACCCCTGGAAGATTCCACCTGCTACAGCGGGGCTTCATGCAGCCCCCCTAGGGCTGCGCCTGCCCCCCTAAGGCTGCACCTGCCCCCGCAGGGCTGCA